AAAGAGACTATCCTTATAAGTCAATTGACTTATTTATTTTCTACCTCTTACTAAAGATAATAACATATCTAAGTTTTATTATTTTAAATTTCTTACTTAAGGCATAGATGTTACTTAATTTTAAGATTTCTTCTTCACTTGTCTCACTCAACATGTTTTTTCGGTCATTTATTAGGTATATACTTCCTCCTTTAATCACCTTTGTTTTAATTTTAAGTCAATTAGCAATTGCTATCAAGATGCAATTTTCCATAGAACCACAATTTTATAACAACAAATTTTTTGATACAATATAAAATCAAGCATACTAGAAAAAAAATTGAAAGTAACTAAAAAAAATGAAACATGAAAATAAGACTACATAAAAGAGAATAGAACCAAATAAAGATAAACATAACAAAATAAGAAAAAATAACCAAACTTTACTGAAAAAAAGAGTCTCAAGCCATACTTGACCAAATGCCTCAAATGGCCTTAGCTAGTCCTATTTATACTTTATTCAATTATCCTTGGAAGTTTTTAGAATGTCTCTAATGGTAGGCTCCATCAAGATAACCATCCTTTTGGAAGATTTTAGAGATGGGTTCTATCATAATAACCACCTTAAATCCTTTTAGAAGATTCTATAGTAGATTCTACATGAACCACCATCCTATCCTCAATTCTAGAAACTTTTCAAAAAAAAATTCCAACTACAAATTTCTATGTACGAATAATACAAATATCTTATCTATGTCTTGTTATATTAGCCATGTTACAATACTATAGTAGTCTATAAAACATTTAATATATGTCTAACTTAGAAGATTCATATCTAACTTGCAAGCCATGTTTCTATATTTGTACTACATAGACAACTTATACCACTAGTGTTACAATTATATAAAAAAATTTGACTAATCATTTATTAGAGTCACATACAACAATATAAGCAAAATTAAAGGAAGCTCAAAAACAACTAAAAATCAACATAGATGCCTATTATAAAGAACAACTTCAATTCCACATTAGCGACAAGGTATGATTACTTTATTGTAATATTGAGACTATTTGCTCTTGTGATAAGTTGAATTATTATAGATTAAAATTATTTTTTATTTGAAAATAGATCAATTCAATTGCATATTAATTACATCTAATAGAGTCTATGAATATCCACTTTTTGTTTCATGTACTTCTTATTATACCATATAAGTTAATTAATATACCAAGAAAAAGACAAATGCCACCTTATCTTAAAGAAGTAGAAAATAATTAAAAATTTGAAGTAGAAGACGTCTTAAATTTTAGGAAGTCCTAAAATAGGTTAAAATATCTTATATATTGGTACAAATATGATATTAATAAATATATATATATGGGAGCCATCTAAGAATCTTATAAATGAAACAAAAAAAATGTATACTTTTCATTGACAACATGCGTTTGATATCATGACATTAAAAAAGATTCTCAATGTTTTATAATATTATTGGAGGTAGTGACTCCCTTTGATTAAATAACAAAGTAGACTTCTTGCTTTGCTATAAAATACTATTGATGGCTAAAAGAACCTATAAACTATCTTCAAAAAGAATATGGATTGAAGTATATAAAAAAATATAATTTATTACATCTTTAGCTTTATCAATATGTGACCACCTCCTCTCTTAGAACTTGTTTCTAAAAGAGTGAGTAATTTTACAAATGTACATATTTATCTATGTTAAAAGAAGGTGAATAGAAACAAATAAGAATATATAAATTTGATAATATCTTATTAAAAAACTTCATAAAAGCTTCATAGATATTGATTTGTCTTTCTATATGACTATAGGTGATTGATAAGTTGAAAATTTAATTAACAAATTGACTATGTGTTACACATATTAATGACGTATGATACAAGTTAGTTATATGGTTCACATATGGATAACTTATCTTATAAGTTAGAAATATATTTTGTAATTTGGACACATATTGGAGGTCCTATAGAATGTTTCCATATAGTTATTAGTTTGATAGTATATATAGAGGCAAGAGTAAAATCTTTTTCACTCTTATCAACGTTGTCGTACTACATGGCGTTTGATTTGAGAATGCAACAAGCACTTGGCTGTAGAAGATAAAAGAAAAATTACAACAACAAGTCCTAACAACTCTAATAGATTCTTAAACAAATTATAATTAAATATTAATAAATATAATTAAAAATTGATCAAATTCAACCAAAATTTCAAAGAAATTATGTAAAAAATATAAAGAATCATAAAGAAATAACATAGAAATTCAAAAATATATTAAAATAGAAATATTAATAAAATATTAAAATAAAAATCTTAATTAAATCTTAATCAAAATCTAATCAAATTCTAATTAAATCCTAATGAAATCTTAACCAAATCCTAATCAAATCCTAAAAAAATCTTTAAAAAATCCTAAAAAAATTCTAATCAAACCTTAAACAAATCTTAATCAAATCTTAAATAAAATTTAATCAAACTTTAACCAAATCCTAATCAAATCCTAAACAAATCCTAATCAAATCCTAAATAAATCCTAAATAAATCCTAAATAAATCCTAACAAACCTTAATCAAATCCTAAACAAATCCTAAAAAAATCCTAATAAAATCCTAAACAAATCCTAAACAAATCCTAACAAAATCCTAACCAAATCGAAAATAAACCTTAGTCAAATCCTTAAAAAATCGTAAACAAACCCTAAACATATTCTAACCAAATCCTAAAAGAACCATAATCAAATCATAAATTAATCCTAATCAAATCCTAAACAAATCCTAAGCAAATTCTAATCAAATCCTAAATAAATCTTAGTCAAATCTTAAACAAATTCTAACCAAATTTTAATCAAATCCTAAAAAAATCCTTACCAAATTCTAAGCAAATCCTAAATAAACCTTAACCAAATTCTAAAAAAATTCTAACCAATTCCTAAATAAATCCTAGTCAAATCTTATACAAATCCTAACCAAATACTAATCCAATCCTAAACAAATCTTAACCAAATACTACTCAAATCCTAAATAAAATCTAAAAAAAACCTAAAAAAATCCTAATTAAATCCTAATCAATCCCTAAACATATCCTAATCAAACCCTAAATAATCCCAAGTAATTTCTATAACATAATTAAACCTCAATAATTAATGAATGAACTATTGATTTTAACTCAAAATTTGCACACCTCTTAATAATTAAATTGAAAAAAAATACAAAATTTTTGAAGAAGATCACACTCACCAAAAAAAAATCAACCCTAATATTTGCTCGGATGTTGGCTGGTCTCTTTCTCCAATCTGAATGTTGAATTTTTAGTGTCAATATCTCCTTATTAAACCATTCAATTGATCTCAAATTTTTCATATATGTAAAAAAATAAGTCTTTTATCTACAAATATAATATTTATTCCAATCCAACTGATAGATTGCAAGAAATCTTAGAAATCCTCACTCTACCTAAAACTCTACTTTTCAAGATCCTAATCCACTTAAACCTCAATAATCTTTGATCCAACCCTTCAATCAAGCTGAAACTCACAACATATATTTAATACATATCAATCCACAAACCTTCAAAATTTCAGTTGTGGATCTACTACCAAACTTATGAAATTCTCCAAAAAAAGCTCTCCTTTTATTTCACAAATCCAAAGTCACCCAAAACAAACCTTGACTTTGCAAAGCTCTTACAAAGTCAAAACAAATCCAAATCACCCCAAAACAATGCTCATTAAAACCTTATCAAGTTTGGTCTCTAATCTCACTCTTCGATCTGCCAAAGAATCCTAGAATCATAGTTGGAGCTTGGTTTTATGTCTCGGGGTCTCATTTTGACCATGGTTCATAACTAGCCCTCTCTGGGTATCAATATCTAATATTTTTAGATAATTTTTACTGAAAACTACTCTTAACTTCTTTTCAAAAGTGCCTATATTATTTATTTTTCTAATCCACCTTATTTTGCTCTATTTGTGGTCCCACAAAGTGAAAAGAAGCTTATTTTGTAAAAAGGCAATATTAGCACCTTTAATTTTTCTATGCCTTGACTATTATCTATTTTTCTAAGATAATTTGTTACAATAAATTTGAAATAAGATCTTCAAAGATATGATATTTTCTACACCCTTTCACCTATTAGCTATTTTACATCACAACAATGTCTTTCTTATTCTTAGTATTGTTTCAAGAATCTGTAGTCTTTTTGCCTTCAACAAAGACTATTCTAATTTTAGTATTACACTATGTTTAAGTAAATATTTGTTATTTTTTTAGTGACACAAAAATGTATAGAGGTCTTTATTCTTTGTGACTCATGTCTTTAATAATATGTTACAAAAATTACTCAAGTAGGATTTATTAACATACTTCTATTTAGAAGTGATCTTTTTTAGTTTGCAGCTTTGATAGTAATGGATTTATAACTTTTATATGATCTAAACTTATTTTTTGAAGTATTTTTATTTTTTATGTAGAAAGAATGATTTAGAAAAGATTGTAGAAACAAAATTGCACTCTTCTCAATAAAGATCACATTTAACTACCATCTATGCTATCAAATTCCAACAACTTGCTTTCAACATAGATTCAAACAACAAGGTTTTTATCAACAAATTCTAATATGGCTTAAAAAAATAATGTCAAAAATCTATTATTGACAACACCAAAAAAATATTCATTAAAATAATTTATCATTAATTAATAAATTATATTTTACTACTTAATAAACTCTATTTTTTATCAATTATGATTGTTATCTATAATTCAATTTTTTAAATTTTAAATATCTAATAATAAAAAAATTAGAAAATAAAATAATAGAACTAAATAAAATAATAAATTTTAAGGAATATATATAATCATATATTAGAAAGAAAGTAATTATTGTTCCCTTCTATTAGAACAAAATATAATTAAGAGTTTGAAGTTGAAGAGATCTTAAATTTAAAATAATGTTTAAATAAACTTAAATATTTTGTTATTAGCACTCATACAACATTAATAAACGCATGTGAAAGTGATGTGAAATGCATCAAAACTTATAAAATCCAAGAATTTGTATAATAACAATATGAGAGTTAGTAATCTATCAAAAATAAAATCAATCTATAACAACTACAAATTGAAGTTGAACTACTTGTGGAACACCATTTTTTTGTAAAAGAATTACAATATCTTGCTATTCCTATCGAAACTATAAAAAGTTCAAATATGCTTCAAAAATAAATTGTTTTTTTGATATAATTTTGTAAAATTGCAGGTGCATCATGATCAAGTATGCAATGAAGTGATGTTACATCATGAGGAATGAGGAGGTAAAGAAGAAGATTAGGGTTGGAGGGGAGGGAGGTTTGTTATATATATATATATATACGATATACTTTTCATGAGTGTGTAGTTTAGTTACCAGAGGAGGGCGAGGAGGGCGAGGACCAGGACCTGATCTACGCCGGGGAAGATGGCCACGTCGAACGAGTCCCGGTCCAGCACCACCGTCTTGGCCGTGACCTGACGGCTCACCACTGCCGCCCTCTCCCTGCCGCGAAACACCGTCAGATTCCAGTCCAGCACATCGCCCTTCACTTGATAGTCTGGCGTCGTCGTCGATGTCGACGTCTGCTTCCCCACAAGCATCACGTCCACCGACGTCTTAAGCTGCAGCACCGACGAATTCCTACACGTCGCCACCACCTGGTCCCCGTTGCCCGTCAGGATCTCCCATGTATCGTGCACGCTAAGCACTTTCTTCTTCATGCTCAAAATTGTGTTCCCTGCTGCGTCGCGCAGGAATCGCCGGCTATGCATGCTCGCGATGCGCCCATCTACTTTGAATGCGCTGTTTCCCGCCTGGTCTGTGATCGTCCAATCGCCCTGGCTCACGGAAAGCTTTTTCTTCGAGATGACGTAGCTCTGTACGGTGTTGGAAACGTACTGCTGCCCCACCACTGGAACGTGCTGTACCCCAATTGTGGCTCCTGGCGTCGACCCTGGGATCTGGTGGATGTGCTGTGGAGGCGGCACGAAGCCATATCCAGTCCAACTAGTTGAGTCCGCAACTGCAACAGATTCATCACTTCACCAGTCTTAACTTCAAGCGACCACTTAAACCTAATTCCAGAACAACACCCCTCGGACAGAAGAAGCTTATCACAACGCCTCGATTGTACAACACGCTGTAACAAGCAAGGGAAAGGCGCTCACTTGTGATGTACCTGGGGTTGGAGTGTGGGGAGAGTGAGGGTATCCACCATCTCCGATTCCGTGATGGTACGCCATAGTACTTTGCGATCTACCTCCCCGGCAATCCGACAGCTAATAAGGATGCCAAATAAACTCGACCGTCCTTCCAAGGATGCCTGCTACACTCGATCAAGAGCTCTACCGCAGTGACAGAGTGACCAGATGTGACATGAACTGAACCAAACGGCGACGAAAATGGGGGACAATCAAAACCTAATCCTGATCAGAATTACGCAAAATGTTTATGCAACACGGATACGGCTCCGCAAGGAAGAGGATGCCGTGGTGCCAGAACTGTGGCGGTAGAGGGTGGGTTGACTCACTAATTCATCGCTTCCTGCAAACTAAACACCTCAATGTCAAGTCAGAAACACGTGTTTACAAAATGCATTGGATTCTCAAACTCCAATTCAAAGCAGGACACGTGGATTCACAAAAAAATCATTGGCTCCAGAATTCATTGGTTTCTGTGTCAAAGCTTGTGGTTACACAATTCATTGACATTTTGGTGAGAAGATGTAATAGTATCTACATTGGGGTTTTCCAAGGCATCCAATTTTGAACATTTTTGATATGCCAAAACGATAATTTCTTAAATACTTTAGAATTTTCAAAAATTTACATATCAAAAAAATATAAATTTTTTATCCTAAAATTCTATCTATTTTACGAATAATTCTTAAAATATGAAGATATTTTCACTTGATTAATAAAAAAATATTGCATAAATAAATATTTTGATTTTTAATTTTTTTTTTACAGTGCATTAGATTTTGAAAAAAAATTGTTAAAATAATAGCTCTAAAATTTGTAGCGATACATGAATGCATATTTTTAGGAAGTAGTTCTGAGGTGAAATAAGTAAACATACCAGGTTTTAAATGATTTATTTCATGTTAGATTGTTACTTGGTTGTAATTTATTTCGTATTTTCCAACTATGCATACGTAAAAGTACAGCTGAGGTATTCCTTTTACATAATAAATGTAATCTCAAGTTCATCCTAAGTAAAAGTTTATTTATTTTTACACTTTTTTTAAAATGTTTTTTTAGAAACAATTAACTTATTTGATGTTTCTTGTTGGAGAAATTTTATCATTTCAAAAGACGCAATATTTTGCTTATTTAAGCAAAAGTATAAACTTTCATACTTCAAATTTGCTGCTAACTTCTTTTTTCTTTCCTTACTATCTAAAATGCATGTGCCTAAAAACTGAGTACACAATAAAACATCATGTTTGTCATGATTAGTCGCACTATCAGAGTTTATAAATGAAGAATTTCTGTCAACACAAAAAGCGTTTGTTTCATTCAAAAATATTCAATACAATTGTTTTGAAGTACTATTCAATTGACTTGTTGACCTTTTGTTATTACTGAGAATGAACATGTGTCAATTGATACTTTTTTCTGAAAGAGTAACAGCGGACTGTAAGGGCAACTCAATCCATAAAAATCTGGTTTCAGACTGACAGAAAGCAAGACAACCAAATCGTGGGGGGGGGGGGGGGGTGTGGAAAGTGTGTTGGCACCTCCACTCTGAGCATCTGTACAGATAGAAAGAAAGACACCGATCGCATGCACACGAAGACGTGGCACCATCTACATCTACATCTACAGCTACGTCGACTGCAAGGGCAAGTCGGGCAATTGGAACCAGGCGAGGGCGATGCAAGAACAGATCGAGGCACACGCAATCAGACATGGGGTTATGGAGAGATAGCCATCCATCGCACACTCAATCGGAGTCAGAGCCATTGCCGTGGTGGAACACTTCGTCCATGATGACAATGAGAGCCAGGACCAGCGCCTGATCCACGCCCGGGAAGATGGTCACACCGAACGTGTCCTTGTCCAAGATGACCGTCGTGAATGTGATCTGCCGAGTCACCAGCGCTGCTTGCTCGGCTCCGCGGAAGACAGTCAGATTGCGATCGAAGAAATCGCCCTTCACCTGATAGTCAGGCGTGTGCTTTCCCGTGGTGCTCGACGCCAGCATCACGTCCATGGATGTCTTGAATTGCACCACCGAGGATTTCTTACAAGTGGCGATGACTTGATCGCCATTGCCCGTCAGGATCTCCCATGTGTCGTGCATGGTGATCAACTTCTTCTTCATGCTCAGGATTACGTTCCCTGCTGCATCGCGCAGAAAGCGCTTGTCACGCATACTAGCGATGCGGCCATCCACTTTGAATGCGCTATGTCCCGCCTGGTCCGTGATATTCCAGTCGCCCTTGCTCACAGAAAGCTTTTTCTTCGCGACGGCGTAGCTCTGCACGGTGTTGGAAACGTACTGCTGCCCCACAATTGGAACGTGCTGTGTCCCCAACGCTGCTACCCCGGGTGTGACTCCTGGTGTCAACCCCGTGCTTTGTTGAATGTTCTGTGGGGTCTGCACGTACCCAGCTCCACCAGTGGCAGTTGAGTGCGCAACTGCAACAGATTCATCACTTCATTAGTCATAATTCAAGCAAACACGTGAACCCAATCCCACAGCATCCCACGGAGCGCAAAAGCAGAAAATTAGGTCTCTAAAAGGCATTGATTCTGCAACTTGTTCCGACCATCGAGGGAAAAAGTGTTCGTTTGTGGTGTACCTGGGGTTGGAGTGGGGTGAGAGTTAGGGTATCCTCCTCCCAATCCTTGATTGTACGCCATAGCACTTTACGATCTACCTCGGCGACAATCCGACAGCTAACAACACTGTGATAATTAGCGTGCTCCCAAGAATACTTGCCACACTCGATCCAGGGGCTCTACCGCAGTAACAGACTGTCTAGATGTGAGATGAGCTTATCCAAACGACGACGAAAGTGCGGGTGAGGGGGCACATACGAAACCTACTTCCAGTCAGAGATGCACAACACATTTATGCAAAACGGACAGGCATCCGCAAGGGAAGAGATGCTGTGGTGCGAGAATGGGGGTATGCGTGGCGGTAGTAGAGGGATGGTTAGACTCAGTCAAGGATCGCTCATCCCCATCACCATCATCACCATCATCATAAGATCTGGAATGTCCAAATCCAAAGCACCGGGGATGCAGAATCATCTGGTGGCCAGTGGAGAGAGGGCGAGAACGAACGAACGAACGAACGAAGAGGGGTGGAGTTAGGCGGGGCCTTGCTGCGAGAGAGCTGCTTCAGCGTTGCCGATCCCAGGAAAGCAGCGGGCAGCAAAGCAAAGCAAATCCTCAGGACAAAATGAAAAAAAGGAAGCGTGGGCACTGTCGAGCAGACTGGGCTGGGCTGGGCTGGGCAGGGCTGTGCGTGCTCCACCGACCCAGTCCGCTATCCATGCCTGGCCCTCCAAGTGGCAATTCCACGTGGCACACAGGAACACAGACGAGACTCGCGAGCAGCATCTTCTTCCGCTCCCCTTCTTCTTTGTTTTTGTTTGTTGGTTGGTTGCTGGAATCTCCCATTAGAATCATCCACGTTGCGCTCAGCCTGTACTCGGGAACGTCGTTGGGAACCACACATAACCCTCGTTGCCACTTCCTGCCTTTCATCCATCCATCCATCCTTCCTTCCATCCATGGTTTGGATGTCCTTGCGTTTCCTTTTCATGGAGAAATCTTGGGTTTGGAAGCAACAAAGATTTTCTCTATCGATCATTTTGAGAGCTCCATTGTCGTTATTATTACTTATGTGATGACTCATGATAAGGTCGTATTTATATTTTTTTGAAAAGTTATATGGAAACATCTAAAAATAAACAAATATAATAGTCATAATTTTAATATTTTTTACAAAATTATATCCATAAATAATAATAGTTTCTATCCATAGCATCTCAAACTTAAAAGATATATGAACATGTGGTTCATGCAAGGTTAAAAAATATCTATATATTCTATTTTTTTGTTATTTATTTCCTTGGATTTCACATATTGAATGAAAAACTATTTTAACATTTATGATTGTATACATAATGCTATTCATGAAACAAATAGAATCAGATGCTGATAGCTGCAGATGCTTCAATTCCCTGTTTGTTACGTGTTAAGAAAACGTCAATAATTGTAAATTTGTCAAGTTTGGCATGCTTGGATCTAGAATCAAATGACTTGTTGTTACTTGTAATTTATAGCTTTAGTTTAGATACAAAGACTACATTTACTTGGTAACTTACCTCTAGTAGAAAAATTACTGTCTATAGTTTGTGTTTCATCATGATGATTTGGGTTATTATTATTGAATAAATCATTTATAATGATGTTTACATTCTACTGTTCTAAGTTATATACTTGAATAGATCTTTGGGTGTTCTTGCAAAAGTATTGTAAGAAATTCATTTAGTTAGACATGCAAACAAGTCAAAAGATAACTTATTGCAAGGATATTTGTGTAAAGATATATATATATGTTTATAATAAAATATTGAATATTCACAAATATATATGATGTTTATAAATTAATTTTAAAAATTACCATTTTTTTATCAATATATTACAATGGTAAATTTTTTAGCTTAAATTTTTTCTTTTAAAATATTATTGATCATTTTAAAGTCTTTCTTTATACTTAAAAATATCAAACTTTAATTTTTTCTTATTTAACATATTATATATGTACTTATCACATTCATAAAATAAATGTGAAAATAGTGTTTTAGTGATTGTGTAAATTTTTCTTAGAATTTAACTGTAAAAAAAATCTTTGCAATTTAAATCTCTTCATGGGCTTTAAAAAACTCCACATACTTGGTATGGATTGATAGTTTTTTAAAAGTGAATACTTAATTTTAATTCATAAATGATTCCAATGTATGCACCAGTTTCTTCTCCACTTTTAATAAGTTTCTCAACTTATTCACGAATAATTCAGTAAACATTTTCCAATTGTTTGAAATATTCATCCATCACTCAAAATATATATTCTAACTTCTTTTCAATGACCATTGACAGTAAAATTACGGTTTTTTTACACATTCGAACTTAGCTTAATAGAATTGCTATAAGTCTTATCTTATTTCAAGATAAATATGTTTTTGGCATTGTGACTAAATCCAACATGATCAATTGCAATCCTATGAACAGTTCTCTTAAATTTGGCATTGACTATTCTCAACTACTAAGCAAAAATCTCATGTTTATAAATTCTAAATCAGCAGCTGTTGTTTCACACAAATAAGCTACTGGTTGCTTGTAATGTATTGTTCGTTGTACCTGATAGGACCATACATTTGTCAATTACATGGCACAATTCATGACAAATCAGGCTCCCATTATTAAGCTTAGGATTAAACAAAGTCGAAGATTTGCTCCCACCAAGGAGTTCATCAGTCTTGAAAGCATTGTTCATGAATTCATTTGGCTTTCTGTTACAGAGACCCAATACTTTGTAGTATGACAACTAAGTTAATCCTGCAAAGGGCCCTCTCTTCCATGACTTCTTCAAGCACATTGGTAAACACAGTTTCACATTCTACGAGATCATGTGGCTCAACCAGCTACTGCAGTGCCAGTCCTCGACTCAGATAAAGCATCAATTCTGTCTTGCCAGGACCCACATTCCTCTCTTCTTCAACGACTTGCTAACGGGGATGGAATTGGTCGAAGTTTATTCGGTTTCTTCAAGTCCTTGCAATTGCTCCTCACGAACATGCTTGACGAAGGAAATCGTGTGATTGAAGGGAGTAATTTAGCAAGTGTGTTGTAACGTCATCACCTTTTACTCAAGAATCACATGGCAAGTGTCCCACTTCTTGCATTATTGATCGTTATAATTATTATTCAATTTACAACTTATTCTATTTCCATCAGTACAGGGATATGGAACACGATGCTACTCTCTTGGATATTATAATGCCTCTTTGTATTAGTCCACTCGTGTCTCAGAAATCGTGGCGATCAGCAAGTGTGGTTCGGTGTGTGTGTGTGAGGTTGATTGTGAGGTTGTCCGACGATTCTCGGACGGTGCGTTCCATACGCCTCCATGTTTATTGTGTACCGACTCGTGAGAAATCCTTGCTGAATAATCCCGTTTCTCCACTGCACCTGGAGTGAGTGCATAGATGATTACTGTACTGGGAGAAATATTCAATATAGTACACTAGTTTCCAGTATAGAATACTATTTACTTAATTGTGACCCTACACCAAGAATTGTGACTCTTGGTGTCACACTTGTACACATAATATATTATGTGAGAATTGATCATATTAAATATAAGATGTTTCCAACATGGTATCAGACTGATAGAAATTTTTTGATCCTTAGAAAGCTTTAAAAAATACTTAGAAAAGAATTGCTAAAAATACAAATTAGATTGTAATGACAACAATAATACAATCTATTGTAACATGAAAGGTTGATGAAGAACTTGAAGTTCTTCAAACCATGAGAAGCAATTCTAAACCTGAAAATAGCAAAGGTAAAATTGAATTGATCAAGAATAAATTAATAAATAATTTTAATTCAACTTCAAATTAAGAGTATTGAAGATAATATAAAAATTGGACATCAATCATGTTCCAAAATTTGATGGTTCATATTTTTATATATATAAATATAGATTAATACTAGTTTTTAAGACTCAAAAATTATAGTCCATGGTAAGTGGTGAAGAACGCTTATCAATGGAACCAACAATAGCTGAAGTTGGTGCCAAAATCTCAACTTTACTTATTATAGGAGTACAGAGTATAAGCACATGGATAGACAATGATGGCTTGACTTTAATCATAATCAATAATTGCCTAGAAAACAATATTTTTTCACAAATATAATCTTACACATTAGCAAATTTACCATGGCAAAAACTAGTAAAAATATTTGAATCATGTGATGTAGTAACTAAGATGTATTTAAAAGCCAAATTATATTTCTTAAAAATGAGATAAGATAATAGTATTATTAAACACATATATACCTTTTGAGTACATATGGAACAACTGTTGGCATTAGTATGAGCAGTTCTAGATGATAAAGAAATTCTCACCTAAATGAGAAGCTTGTCTTTAAGTTATAGATCCTTTATTAGCTCCTTGAGAAGGCAAATTGGGATCACATTAGCATCCTTGATAATAGATTTAATCCAAGAAGAAACACTCATAAAAAAATATGAGTTTAACATTCGATAATAATTTAGCCTTATATATAGGCAAGAAATTTCAGAACAACAATAAGAAATCTTATTTTAACAAGAATTTCAAAGGAAGTCTACAAAGAGAGAGTAGTACCTTCAAGCCACATGAAAAGGATAATTTTGCTATTGAAAAGTACTTTTTCTGTAAGAAATTTGGTCATTTGATCAAAGATTGCAGAACGAGAATAGTAACTAAAAATTATAATAATAGAAAAGAAATAAAAGTTATTACAAAACCAAATAAACTATATGTAGCAATACTTATAGTTAAAAAAATTCAAATTCAATATAGTATGTGGACTTAGGATCAACATAACATATGTATCATGAATTAACAAGATTTGTTAAATACATCAAAAATGAAGACAAACAAGTTGTCTACTTTGGAGACGATACTACAACATACATCATAGAAGAACATAGTGATGTAAATGTCAAACTCATAAATGGTGATGAAAAGATCATATCTAATGTATTACATATATCAAGACTTGTCAAGAATTTATCCTCTAAGAAATAATTAGATAAGGCAAGAGGAGAAATTTGCTTATAAGCTAAAACAACTACATAAATGAATAAATTTGGTAACATCATTGCAATCTGTAAATTGAATCCTGATTTATATGAATTAGATGCAACAATACTTTTAAACAAGCCTCAAATTGCAATTCCAGTAACAACATAATTCAATTAAGCTGATTTGTAGCATCTAAGAATAGGACACATAAATCAATGAAGACTTAAACAAATACAAACAATGGCAAAAGGTATGGGCTTCTTTGATGAAAAGAAAATTACCTTATGTCAACCTTGTATAGAAGGTAAACATC